GAGAGAGAGAGAGAGAGAGAGAGAGAGAGAGAGAGAGAGAGAGAGAGTAAGAGGGAGAGGGAGGGGAAAGGAATAGGGAGAGCGGCTACAGAAAGGATAGCTATCTATATAACTAACCTCGGTCTTAGACACTCCTTAGTCAGCTCATGAACTAGTTTGCTACCCTACCCACTATTGTACTCGAACAGTATAAATGGTCAGTAAATAAATATGTTTTCAGTGTACAACCTAAGCTCCATCATAATCCACTCTACCGTACCCAAAGCTACCGCTAACCGTAGTCCCTGCAGACTGGCACTTTGTATATCTTCCCTAACTCATCTTCTCATAACATTTTTATAACAATAATTTAGAGTTCAGCTTCGCAACGGTATTGCTATCCGTACGATCGTGTGCCAACGCGACATCCGTTTTCGATCACAACAAGCAAGCGATGCAAAATTCACGGCGAGGTTTCCGCGGTCGACAGGGTTGGCTCGTGTTGCTGACAAACACGCCAGCACTCGTTTACACATTCGCACGCTAATCGTTATTACTTTGTCCCCCCCCCCCACACACACAAAAACGACCACAAGTGATTTCTTTACCTTAACAATTCTCTTCGATAATAATTCCATCGCAGAAATCGCTTATTATTTCCTTACCTTCGCGGCGCGTGGAATTTTTTTCTTTGTTCTCGTTTGCGTTCCTAAGTTTCTAATTGGAATTCCGCTGTTGTTGTTTTCATTTCACGCGCCGCGCTCATCACGTCGTGCATCTGGGCGACTCGCGGGGTCAATGGGCCGTCCTTCGCGCACCCCGATCTCCGGACAAACTCTCTCACCTTGGCGTGCGTTCATCACCGTAACCTTTGACACGCGCCCGCCACCGGATGCTGACGATCTGCGCCGGAAACGCGGCGCCGCAATAATGCGTAACGCTGTCGCAAACACCGCGCCGACCGCAGAGAACGAAACAAGATCACGTGCTGCTGCCGGCGATGGAGATGGAGGGAGACGACGGCGGGGAGGTGCCGCCAACCGACGCGGCGGAGGGAGCCGAAGGTGTGCCGAACGGCGCGGCGCCGACCGATGTGACGAGTCCAACGAAATCGCAGGACATCGCGCTGCAGAGTCCAGTCGACAGTCTGAAGCGCGACCTAGCGGCCGAGCCGATCCCGGAGGAGAGCGCAGAGGAGGAGAACCAGGTAGCATGTAGTCAGGAGTGGATTCGTTATCTTCTTATACCGTACACTCGACACGTATACGTACGTGCTCATGTTTATTGCAATTACACGATACACGTACGTAGTATATATATTGTATATACTATTGTATACTATATTGTACATATTATTTGTATATAGTAAATGTGAATCAGTGCGACAGTAAGCTAGACGTGAATTTGGGGAGTTTGGGGGGGTGGGGTGGAGGAGGCGATGGGTTTTGATCGTTATTTCATGTGTTATTTCCTTACCATTGTTTAGAGTTGACTGAGTTCGCGCATCGATTGGTTTTAATGTGGATGTGGTTACGAATATCTATACAAAATGAGCCGGAATTATATCAATGAGTATTATGCAAATTCGCAAGTGCAAGGTTGGTGGAAGTCAATGGAATTTTAGAGATGCGTAGCAGACGACCTCGGCTATTGCGTGCAATAACTAGTTAAAAGGAGAGTAGTGATTAAAGAGTGTACGAGCAGTAGTCGGCAGTAAGAGCATCAAAAATGTATCCATCTCGACAGCTGGTGGATCCTCTCATACTATCTTTATGACCGTGATATACGCCATTCATTCGGCTTTCTTCCGTTACTACACGAACGCGTTTTAATTGCCTCACGCACAGTTCATTCCCCCCATTTCGGTTATCTCTCAAATCCTCGCCGCAGCAGCGAAGGTAAACGGCAGTCTGAATATGATAATCCCCCGAATCTAATGGGTCCCGTACTTGGCTCAGTAATGCGCACTCCCAAACGCTATTAGGACATCTGTGCATCGCTCGCGTACAGGCGCTCTGACTGAATCGCGAGCTTACGCAGCTGAAGCCCGCAAATGCTGTGTAAAGGTTCTGCAGCTGTTGCAGCATTTCGACGCAACAAGATCTTTGCGGCTACTGTTGCACGTGCGAACAGCACTGGCCGTTATATAGGTGTACCTCGAGCTGCATGAACGAGATCTGTGAACCCAATGCCGTGAACTGTAAATATGTGCGGTGACAAATATCACAGTTGAGCGCGCGCAAAGATTCAAAGCTGCATTAAATCTCAAACGATAAATTTTAGTACCGCAAAGCTGTAACGTAATTTACTCGCTAGCGCAACAGACGGATATGCCCTCAGTTTCTATCTGACGATACAGTAGTTTCTCCGTGGTTTTATTTTCCATATACCACTAGAATTCACTTAATGATCATGAGATCAAACTTGACTAATGACAGCATTGATCTTTGTATTACACTCATAAAGGCACATGGTAATTGGTTATTGGTGGGTTGGTGGTTTGGTTGGTGCCAAAGCGCGCAGTTATCATCGCTTTCAGCTTACAGGCTTATCAACAACGACACGGCAATACGTTGGCATAGAGCCAGATCTGAAGCTCACACACGAGCGCACACACGGGCGCGTACGCACGCACGCACGCACGCACACACACGCACTCACACATTAAGCTAGGGGCGCACATGTCGCTAATGTTACTCATTGCTACTACAACACAGGCGTGCATGTGACGCTATCGCGTTTACGTTTCATACAGCTCACGATGTTCGTCGGCAACCCGATTTTAATTTTATCACAATTCTCGCAAAAAACCGCGCGCAGCAACCAGTGAGGGTATTATGAGGGTATATGTGACGAGAACGGCGCGTGGCGGCCATCTACGAATCGCGTCGGTCCTGAATTTGCAGTTGGCAATTAACATGCGCCTGGCAATAGTAGTAGGCCTAAGCAGTTCTATGTTTAGACATGCGATGTTCCCTTTATAGCTAGACTTCATCTCAGTTCAACGTTATAAAAAGCCGCACGGTACAATTATACAACGCATATATACACTCGCCGTATAACATTGTCGTTCGGTCGGATTTTGAAATAGGATCATTTTTACACCGAACCGTATCGCTTTAGTTGGCTGCAGTTGACAATGCAAGTTCAATCAACTCTAATAAGTGTCAACAACATGATATGCTCCGTTAATTGCACAACGTGAGTTAATGATGACATGACCCCAATACGGTAACAGAGAGCGTTGTTGTAGATCAGGTCCTATTTTTTTTTAACGACATGTGACCTATTTACTACGGATATCTGCACAGCCACATCCACCACTATGATAGTCGCCATAGATTCCGCCTTGTATCGAACGAAAGGTTTAGCAAAGCAAAGCAAAGCAAGGCAAGGAAAGGCGTCATAACACACGTTGCAGGGATTCATTTTCTGCATTTATATTTATACCTGATAAGGCATACTGCCTATTATACTAGTACCTACATAAAACGCCTGGTGTTATATCTTAAGCGAACAATTTTGCCTAACTTTGCCTAAAAAGAAGTAGCTAGATTAGTGTGGCATATCATATGGTAAGGATGTTATGGGTTTTAATTCAATGCCTTTCTGTAATTTCTGCCTTCTGGCAAGAATAAAATGTTTAAAAATTAAAAGATTGTGATATCGTGGGTCGAGGACCACAGTCTATGTACATAGGCCTGCTGGTAGTGCGTGAAATGAGTGCAGACAGTGGTATGTTAACATGATTTATATGTAGCGCATGCGTATATGGTGTTTATACACTGAACACAAATTATTGTCATTCGCGAATAGTCCGTCTATAGTCAGAGCCAAATTTAAAATTACATTTTAAATTCAACCCAAATAATGTTCAATTATGACTTTACCATATAAGCATATAAGTATCCTAGCCAAAACCTTTACAATGGACACCTGTTTCTACAATATATACAATATAAGTAAGTCTATAGTTTACGCAGTTAAAAAAACGCATTTTAGTTTGCCTGCGAATGACCATATATAAATTATAATTTTCCATACTTATTCTTCTACAGTGTTTAGAAACAATAATTTATCCACGGCACACATTTTCCCTAGGTTTATGTACTATTACTATCGTAGGTACCTTATTATGTGATTTATAAAACACGTTTTCAGGTCAATTTACCAAATTAGAACAAAGTTACCTGAAATCTAAATCGCCTTCAAGGCTTGAAAAGATCACGCAGACGGAAAGCATTACAGATCCGTTACGCTGTTCTAAACTATAGCTATCGTGCTTATTTTAAGACTCGCGTTACTAAATGCAACCAGCTAAACTTGTTTAAAAACTAGCGAAATTCCAGCGACTGAAAACGTTTTTGTGCGCCGTGAGATATAACAACGGCGAGTAATCGCTCGCGTGGCGATATTCGTCGTAACCGAAGTATTCGGATATTGTGCAGAAACGGTGCAGCCATATGATCGGCCGCAATGCACCATCGCTTATATACATACACTAACTAAAAGCTCATCGAATTGTTTATTATTGTCGTATATATCAAGCTGATTCCGTAATGCCGTGCAGGGGTGGCGCGTAGTTAACGACGCAATTTAGAAACAATAACCGAGATCTGGAAGCCAGCCATTAAGATTGATTGCTTCGGCGATAAACATCGGCAGCAGGAAAGCGGTGCAGGTCGAATGCGAGTGAGTTGATTAAATGCCGAATCACGACACTTCACTACAGGCTCGCTGAGCTTTCTCACCCCCATAATTGGGTCAATAAATACTACGTGTATTTAAGTTTTGCACACTATACCAGCACGAAATTACGTAACGCATCTGCTGTACTCAGAAATAAACGCTAACAACCCTAGCTGGCCTGACCTGGCCGTTGGAATGAAGTTGATAAACAGCAATTAAACTGCGCCGTCTGCGTTAAGGATTCAATATAGGTTAAAACATAATAACCTTTACTGTAACTGTAATATGTAACAATATAAATATTATAACTACTGAAATTCAACGAGCGAAATTCGGGTTCAAGTCGTGTTCAAGTCGAGTTTATTTCGGGATATTAGCCTGAGTACATTTCGGATTGGGGTCACTGCCTGTTCTAGTAATGTGAAAGTGGAATTTCATTACTCATTAACCCACAAAGCATTTCTGCCCCCACGTGCTTATATTTCACGCTAGCATTAATAATTTATTCTCCGCCACGCGATGCTGTAGGACGCAGCAGGAGCGGCGGAGGATGAGGAGGAAGAATCTCCGAAGATGCACCCGTGTCCCTGCCTGCCGCCCGTGTCGGCGGCGTATCCCTCACGAAAGAAGACGGGCTTCACAGCCTGGGTGCGATACATCCTGCGCTGGATACTCTTCATATTCTCGTTCCCGTTCGTCTGCGCGTACACTTGGACGATCCCGGACTGCTCGAAGGAACACAATAGGTAATGCGTGTGCGCGTACGGCGGCAGAACCATTCACTTGGCATCGCGTGATGTTCGTTCAACCGAGAATTTAAGAATCCGGAAAGAGATAAAACGGGGGAATTAAAATGGTCGTAACGTATCGCATCGTAACATAACATATCGCAATGTAACGTAACGCAACGCAATGTAACGTAACGTAACATAATATGAATTAGTTTATGTGCTCTTGATTTATTCAATGGCGGGACGTTAAGGTGCCCGTTGGGAAACCTAAACACTCGAAATGACAAGGTATCATTCGGAGCTCAATATTTAAACTACATTTCTACTACAGTACACTCGTAGTCTTAAAGTTAGTCTTTTATTCTAGGAAGTGGTTTTGGCTGAGCTTTCTCATGTCAGTGTTGTGGATAGCTGTGATTAGTTTCGCCCTGGTGACGGTTGTCGGTCGGTCTGGTTGCCTGCTAAAAATCGACACGTACACTATGGGTCTGGTCGTCATTTCTGTTGGAACCAGCGTTCCCGTGAGTATAATAAAGCAGATTATATGCAAGACATCGCAATGTAATACTGTAATAATCATCGGAATCAGTTCGCTAATAGTTGTTAATACCTGTACACGTGTAAGCATTAGCCATGCGCGCATGCGCGTGGGCATACGCGGGGGAATGCTTTCATACTTGTCTCGAAATGTCTTACGTGGCTTCAGTGTAGAGTAAAGTTACCGTTGATTTTAAACTCTCGCAGTACACCTACAAAGCTGTGTAGTTTATAATCACATACTGTATACATGTTTATACGTTAATATCAGCATTAAATTAGTGTTGTTACTAATAATAATATTACTATTGCATTATTATTAGTATTATTAGTTATTATTATTAATGCCATCGTTTGCAGGACTGCATCAGCTCTATATTGGTCGCTAGGGATGGATTCGGTGACATGGCCGTGTCAAATGCGATCGGATCTAATGTGTTTGATATCAACCTCGGTTTGGGTCTTCCCTTCCTCATTCGCATGGCCATCGACAAGGGGAAGGCGATCCGGCTTCTGTCCGATGAAGAGATGGTACGATGTTCTTACACGTTTCGTGATGAATGTAATGTGCCGCTAGAGCGTACGTGCATGCGTGAGTGCGTACGTGCGTAATAGTATAGCCATAGTATAGCGTGCATGCGTACGTGTTTGCGTGTGTGTGCGTGCGTATGTGCGTGCTTGCGCTATTGCATAGTTATTGTATAGTGTGCGTGCGGGTGCGTTTGTGCGTGCGTGTGTGCGTACGCTATAGTGTAGTTATAGTATCAGGAGTGTATCAATATATATATATATTGATACACTCCTGATAGTATAGCATGCGTGCGTGTCTGGTTACGCTATATTATAGTCATAGTATAGCGTGCATGTGTGCGTGCGTTCGTGTGTACGTGCGCTATAGTATAGTTGTAGTATAGCACGCGTACGTGCTTGCGTGTTTGCGTGCGCTATAGTATACACGTAGTTATAGTATAGCATGCGTACGTGCGTGCGTGCGTGTGTGCGTACGCGCGTGCGCGCGCGCTATAGTATAGATACAGTATAGCGTACGAGCCTGAAATTACCCGCATACGTTACTTTAAGGTCTTTAGTGTTCTCGCGTGTCAGAGCTTCTGTGAGATTTCTGTAATTATTCCTCAGCGTTCCCCGCTACACGCAGGCCATATTTAGCTCTCCGACAGGCTCTCCAGATAGGATCGTATAGAAATGCTAATTAAAGCAGTCGAGAATTTTCCTATATGGGTATATAGAGACAATCCTGTATTAACATCACAGATGCGCAGCTCTTTCCGAAACAGCGTGGTGGCGGCCATATTTGAACAGCGCAGATTTTCTCTTATCTAGCTAACACCGCCCTAGCGCCGCGAGCAGAATGTTTACATGCTTTTAAAACATTAATAACATCATTGTTCATGGTTAAATCCTTAAATTGTTTACCTTGACAGTTTCAGCTGTCGTTCTGACAGCCATCTTCAGAACTTGTTCAGCAAATCAAGTTCTGAAGATGGCTGTCAGAACGACAGCTGAAACTGTCAAGGTAAACAATTTAAGGATTTAACCATGAACAATGATGTTATTAATGTTTTAAAAGAAATCCGACTATAAACTTTCAAGTGTTTACATGCTGTTTCGAGGTACTCATGGGCAAAATATTGGGTGAAAATGTAAAATATTCATAAATTGCATGTCGATCAGAACAAAGTCAAGGTACGTGGGTGGTTTTCTTTTAGCCACACATACGCACGCACGCATACGCACGCACGCACGCACGCATATATATATATATATATAATATATATTATAAGGCTAATTTAAATATTGTCGGAAGAACAAGTTTAAAGATACTGTACCTGTCCAATGAAGATTCATTTTAAAAACCGTCTGCAAAATTAATGAGGAAATTACAAAGTCGCCGACTAAAACGGTAAATCAGATTAGCAGGGGGGGGGGGAGAAATATGTCGATGAGAAGAAAATATGCGAGGCAGGATCACGCGAGGCAAGCGGCCGCGGTAGAATAGGAAGGCGATATAAATGTGGGCCGACTAAAACTCGAAATAGTCTTGATTCCATATCATGATCGATTGATGATTTATACTAGTAAATGATCTGTGGTATACTTGCATCTTCATCTTCATCTCTTTAGTGGTATTGCTATTCCGATAGATATATATAATGTGGAGATCTTGTAAAGTTCATGCACTCATCTCATTACTTCAATATAAGTTATATAACTTATCTTCTCTTTATTCGTTGGGTAATTTGCGTGGATTACTCTATATCGCTGGGCTTCTATCGAGTCACGCGACCGCTATATAAGCATAAGCATAGGTGACTTTATTTATATGGGCTTATCAAGTAACGCGATTCCTAGAAGATCACGATGTATGCGCGCATGCGTGCGTGCGTGCGTGCGTGCGTGCGTGCGTGTGTGCGTGCGTGCGTGCGTGCGTGCGTGCGTGCGTGTGTGCGTGTGTGTGTGTGTGTGTGTGTGTGTGTGTGTGTGTGTGTGTGTGTTGTGTGTGTGTGTGTGGTGTGGT